GAAAAGGGTGGCTTGTTCCCTTCAGGTTGGTGGAGAGTTCCTGCCTCAAGTGGAGGAGTTCAAGTATCTTGGGGTCTTGTTCACGAGTGAGGGAAGGATGGAACGGGAGATTGACAGGCGGATCGGTGCAGCTTCTGCAGTAATGCGGTCGATGTACCGGTCCGTCGTGGTGAAGAAGGAGCTGAGCTGTTAGGCGAAACTCTCGATTTACTGGCCTATGGTGAGAGTCGGAATGTAGATCCCGGATACAGGTGGCCGAAATGAGCTTTCTCCGCAGGGTGGCCGGGCGCACCCTTAGAGATAGGGTGAGGAGCTCGGTCACCCGGGAGGAGCTCAGAGTAGAACCGCTGCTCCTCCACATCGAGAGGAGCCAGCTGAGGTGGCTCCGACATCTGTTTTGGATGCCTCCTGGGCGCCTTCCTAGGGAGGTGTTCCGGGCATGTCCCACCGGGAGGAGGCCCCGGGGAAGACCCAGGACACGCTGGAGGGACTATGTCTCTCGGCTGGCCTGGGAACGCCGCGGCATTCCCCCGGAGGAGCTGGAGGAAGTGTCTGGAGAGAGGGAAGTCTGGGCATCTTTGCTTAGACTGCTGCACCCACGACTCGGTCCCGGATAAGCGGAAGAAAATGGATGGATGGATGGTTTCGTGTGTGTGTGCTTGTATGTTGTTCTGTTGTTGTATCTTTTTTTCTGAACCTTCATTGTGAGGAAATTTTTGTTGGTCCTCACAACTTCAAAGACCTGTGTGAGAGTTAAGACTTGGTTCTAGGTTTCACTGCAAAATTAAGCTCATGTTAGTGTTAGAATCTAGGGAAATCACAGTGAGTGTCCTCACAACTATAGGAGCTGGTCCACTGACCAACAGTGGACTAGTGAGCCAACAGAGGACACTGAGGATGTCCACTCTGGGTCATGCCTTAGGTCATGCTATAATTATCTCTGTTGAAGTTGTTTTACTGTTACTCAGGAGGGAATCTGCAGGTGTGTGATAAAGTTCATACTCTTCACTGCCCCTGCAGGCTGGGGCAGGGATTTGAACAACTTTAGAGTGTGAATGCTTTGCAGCCCCACGGTGTCTTGTCAAAAATTGTTTTTGGCCTTCTTGTTGAAAAAAAAACAAAACATACAACTGCTCAACTGCAGTGCATGTCCTAACTCAAGCTTCACTGTAGTACAATGAAGACTACATATTTCAAAAGCACATTTAAAAATAAAAGGTGAAAGTAGAGTGTTACGGACAAAAAAAAACTGTCTTTACTGCAAAATGAGTTTGTGACAAAGTTTTAAACATGAATTTAATGATTTAGTGTAGGAAAGTTTGAGTGTGACTGAGTTAATAGGCTGCTCAACATATACATTTTTAAAATGTTTATGCACAAGACTGTCATTTCTTAATCACAAACTGAATTCAAGAAGTCTGAATGTCCAGTTCTCTTTTCTTATGTGTCCAGGCAGCAGAGTGGCAGGTTTCCTTTCCAGTCAGGACACTGGGTTGACGTGCTATGTGACTGAAATGACAGAAAATCTGAACCTGACCAGAGTCCTTCTGATGGACTCTTGCAGCTCCTTGTTCCTCAGACTGTAGACCACTGGGTTCAGGAAAGGAGTCAGAGCAGTGTACAGCACAGCTACAATGATACGTACCTAAAAAAACAAACCAAAATACATTCTTTATTGGGCTCACATGGCTGACTTAGCCTACCTGTCATATTTTCCTTGCTGAAGATGACAAGGTGGGTCAGACTGGACAAGCAGGGAATCGAACCAGTTAGGAGATAACCTGCTCTAACCCCTGAGCCACAGCCACCCCAAGTGGAAGACATAACTGGAATTTTGGGCAACCTCCAACTTTGAATTACAAATGACATTTGACTTCTTATGGTTATGATTTAAAGAATATGATGTGAACATAGCCGTAGTTTTGGTTAAACTACCTGTGTTGAATACAGGACATAAAGTGTTGAAAACCTACTGAAACAAAGGCAAAGGTAAATATGAAAGTCTGATTTTTTTTAGTCTTGTACCTCTGGTGAAAAGCTTCCCACGCGGTAGGAGATGTACACAAAGGAAGCTGAGGTGAAAGAGATGGACACCACAGTCAAGTGGGCAGCACACGTCCTGAAGGCCTTCAGTCTCTGAGCAACACCCATCCTCAATACTGAAATGCCAATCAGGACATAGGAGGTCAGGATGAGGACTCCTGGGATCAGTAGAGACAGAGTGGCAGTGACAAGGCCCACAATGTTATCCAGTGAGGTGTCAGCACAGACCAGTTGCCTTATAGATGACGGGTCACACCAGGCATGTTTGACCACATTTGGGCCACAGTAAGGTCGGAGTAAAGCATATATGAAGTATGGCAACATAGTGAAGATGCCAAAGCCCCAGGCTCCTGCTATGAGGAGCAGCTGGACCTGCCAAGTCATGATGGAGATGTAGTGCAGAGGGTGGCAGATGGCCACGTAGCGGTCGTACGCCATGACTGCCAGGATGGCATGACCAGTAAAGGTTAGCTGAGTGAAGAAAAACATTTGCAGGAAGCAGCCTGGGACTGAGATGGTTGACACGTCTGACAGGAAGCCAGCCAGCATTTTGGGGATGGTAGAGGTGGTGAAGAGCATGTCCACCAAGGAGAGGTGGCAGAGGAAGAAATACATGGGAGAGTGGAGCTTTGGATCAGTCAGTGTCTGATGAGGAAAAACAATGGGAATGATTATCAAACTAATAATTTGATATTCTGAGACAATACTGAGTAAATACAGACACATTGACCAGAAGTGAAGTGCCAGCATCAGACCGCCAACCAAAGCAAATCAGATACAATTTCAACATCATCAAATACCTAACAACAGACTTATTTTGTGCACTTGTACACACATTCGTGTGAGAATATTTTTCAAAAACCACCAATTAGACCTGGCTCATTTCCCATCCACTAACATGGACGGGGTGGGATTTATTAGCTATAATGTAAAACAGCCACCAGGGGGCGATGGAGTCAGCAGCTTCACTTCTGGAAGTGCTTAGCCTGTCCATCATTTTTAGTCAACAATAGAGACACACAACTTTGTTTCATACCACAAAGATGATCATGCTGTTTCCTCCCAGGATGATGATGTAACCCAGCAGCAGGATGACAAATGGGATCATCTGTCTTTCACCGAGGCTGGAGAGGCCCTGGATGATGATGAAGGTGACACCGTCAGGCTCCCTGGTGCCGTTAACAGAGCTGGATCTGTGACTGGTTGACAAGGGTTGGTCTGAATCTGGAGGCACAAGTAGAGAGGTGTCAGCGTTGAGTCACTGAGTTTTACTGAAATACTGCTTATATTTTCATATAGTTTGCTTAGCGTTTGCATGTGGGCATGTGTAATGGAACGCAACATTGACAAAATGATATGGGCTCATATTGAACATTATATACAGTTGGTAGTGTAATTTATTGCAAGTTCTACTGTAGCTGAGATGAGTTTGTTAGGCTGCAAACCTTAAAGACCTATTTGGCATCAGTGTGCAAATGCTGACCAAACTTTCTGGCGTGAGGTGAATTTATTTGTTTGGGAAACGGAGGTAGTTGACTGTTTACATCTGGGAAAAACTACAACTCTCTGTGAGATGGGATGACATCGACAGGGTTAGCCAAGATGCTAGGTGTGTGCTAGAGTCCACGTTGTGTTGCACAGTTTGTTCACGATCACAGTAAGTGAAGATAATGAGTTAGTAAGTCCAAACCCCTCTGGATGGGTGGACACTGTGCAACTGAAGCACTGGCATCCTCACCAACAGACTGTGCACTGAGTGAGATGTAGCTGCCTGCCAGTAGAGCTGGCTTGGTCCAATAAGGAGCAATCACCTCTTCATAAATAGAGCACATTTCCAAATTAACATTACTTGTTAGACTGGTCACATATTCACAAAAAGGCCGCTTTCTCACCTGAAAAAAAAAACAGCTCTAAATTCAATAAAGGCCCAGGGTTTTGTCTCCACATGTATCAATACTGAGCTAGAGGAAGGGCCTGATGCTGTAAAGGAAAACACAGCTATCACACGAGGCCTCCAGGACAGTGTTCTAAAGTTACACAGTGCAGAAACAGTTGATTTCCACAAAGTGGAAATAACAGAGCTGCCATTCAAGTGACTATGGGAAAATGAAGCAAAAATATCATGAACATGGCAGCTGCCATCTTCTTCTTTGGAACCAGATTCTGCTCAGTAGCGACCAGAAGTGAAGTGCCAGCATCAGACCGCCAATCAAAGCAACTCAGACAAATTTTCAACATCATCAAATAACTTATTAAAAAGAGATGTACTATACTCACTTGTACACACATCAGTCTGAGAGAATCTATCAAAAACCACCATTTTGACCTGGCTCATTTCCCATCCACTAACATGGACGGGGTGGGATTTATTAGCTATAATGTAACCAGCCACCAGGAGGTGATGGAGTCAGCAGCTTCACTTCTGGAAGTGCTTAGCCTGTCCACCATTTTTACAGTCAACAATAGAGACACACAACTTTATTTCATACCACAAAGATGATCATGCTGTTTCCTCCCAGGATGATAATGTAACCCAGCAGCAGGATGACAAATGGGATCATCTGTCTTTCACTGAGGCTGGAGAGGCCCTGGATGATGATGAAGGTGACACCGTCAGGCTCCCTGGTGCCGTTAACAGAGCTGGATCTGTGACTGGTTGACAAGGGTTGGTCTGAATCTGGAGGCACAAGTAGAGAGGTGTCAGCGTTGAGTCACTGAGTTTTACTGAAATACTGCTTGTATTTTCATATAGTTTGCTTAGCGTTTGCATGTGGGCATGTGTAATGGAACGCAACATTGACAAAATGATATGGGCTCATATTGAACATTATATACAGTTGGTAGTGTAATTTATTGCAAGTTCTACTGTAGCTGAGATGAGTTTGTTAGGCTGCAAACCTTAAAGACCTATTTGGCATCAGTGTGCAAATGCTGACCAAACTTTCTGGCGTGAGGTGAATTTATTTGTTTGGGAAACGGAGGTAGTTGACTGTTTACATCTGGGAAAAACTACAACTCTCTGTGAGATGGGATGACATCGACAGGGTTAGCCAAGATGCTAGGTGTGTGCTAGAGTCCACGTTGTGTTGCACAGTTTGTTCACGATCACAGTAAGTGAAGATAATGAGTTAGTAAGTCCAAACCCCTCTGGATGGGTGGACACTGTGCAACTGAAGCACTGGCATCCTCACCAACAGACTGTGCACTGAGTGAGATGTAGCTGCCTGCCAGTAGAGCTGGCTTGGTCCAATAAGGAGCAATCACCTCTTCATAAATAGAGCACATTTCCAAATTAACATTACTTGTTAGACTGGTCACATATTCACAAAAAGGCCGCTTTCTCACCTGAAAAAAAAAACAGCTCTAAATTCAATAAAGGCCCAGGGTTTTGTCTCCACATGTATCAATACTGAGCTAGAGGAAGGGCCTGATGCTGTAAAGGAAAACACAGCTATCACACGAGGCCTCCAGGACAGTGTTCTAAAGTTACACAGTGCAGAAACAGTTGATTTCCACAAAGTGGAAATAACAGAGCTGCCATTCAAGTGAAATAAGACCAGTTTATTATTCAAAGCAGAGTTAAATACATGACTGAGGGGACCCCCAGTGTACACCACTGTTTGTCTTTTACTGAAACAATTAGTGGATAAATCAGTTGATGGAGAGAAAAGCAGTTTTTCATGCAAAGAAGAGAAATACAGCAAAGAGCAAACCTTTAACTTCAGTTTCTCAAAATCAAAGATTTGTTTTTCTCTATTTTGTGTCATAGTAACAAAATCTTGTTTTTGACTGGGTGAATAAAACAAGAAAACAGTTCATTACAAACATAGCATATAAATACAACATTCATCATCCTATGTTGTCAGCTGTAAGGAAGGCTTTGGTAGCAGCAATGCTTTACAATATCAATTAATTACTACAGAAACATCAACTAACAGTGTAAGAACTTAACATTACTGTACCAGGAAAGGTCGTAATAAAACTAGAAAACAGGCATTCATTGTCAACAAGGCTCAGAAACCAATTCAGTTTGAGGTCAGTTCAATTTGTTTTAAGTTCAGTCCATGTCAGTGATGTAGCTCATTAGACATGAATGTAGTGTACAGCTACAACACTGTGAGAGAAGAGCAGTTACTTCAGCAGATGAGCCTGTATGTAAACTACACAAGTGGGAAACAGCTCAGCACTGAGATAAATGCAGGCATCA